CCACCCCGGGGGCCCAGGCCACACCCCTTCTCCGGCCTGGCGCGCGGCTCGGCCGAGAACCGCGCGAGAGCGGCGAGCAGAGGGCGGGGCCAAGACAGAGTCCCCGCCCCCCGCGCCCCGCCCACCAAGTCCCTCCTGGGGCTTTCAAACTCCAGAGGCGCGGAGGGGCGTGAGGGGCGTGAGGGGCGTGACGGGTGTGGGACTACAACTCCCAGCATGCCGTGCTGGGAGGCGGCTAAGGCGCGGCGCCATGGTGTCCCGGTCTACCGGGTTCGGGCTGTGAAAGCCAATTCTTGTTTTCTGTGTTTAAAGACTTGGTTTTGCTAAGGAAGGAAACACAAACGGGGATTTAAGAATATGCATGGACGCTGGAACGGAGCCGAATACGTTTAGAACTTTAAGAAAAAAAAAGGGACCGAAAGTGCCACTCAAAAGCAGTCCAAGTAGAGGACGTTAGGAAATCGAGAGCTCAAGTCCTAACTCTTCTCATTTTACAGTACCTGAGGCGGCGCAGAGCTGAGTCAGTTACCCACGTCATTTCCGTAACGTACCTGGGTTTTTTGGATCCTCACAACCATATTTTATAAAATGAAAGACATCCTTTCTACAAAAGAATTTCTCTCCCTCTGGCTCCCCCGACCCCCTCGCCTGCTTTTTCCCTCTTGGAGTGTTGGAGATCAAATCCAGAACCGGGTAATTTGAGGCGAATACTCGACCACTGAGTGATTCCCCACGGGCCTTCAGACTTCTATATGGGGCTTAACTTGCCCTAATGGGGATTGAAATGGGCAGTGTGTTTGCCGATTCAGTACGCCTCTGTGCTCCTGTGTGTGCTGCTCTCGGTGTTTCAGTTGTGGCTGATGACAGAGTATGCCTACTATCTAATATGGGGGGTTTTTAATGTGTGTGTGTGTGTGTGTGTGTGTGTGTGTGTGTGTGTGTGTGTGTGTGTGTGTGTATGCTCATGAAGGCCAGAAGAGGGCATCAGGTCCCTTGGACCTGGAGTAAGGGTGGTGGGGAGCCGTCTGATAATAGGGCCACAAAGAGAATCCGGGTCCTCTGGAAGAGCAGCAAGTGCTCTTAACTGCTGAGCCATCTCTCCGTCCCTGATCTAATGTTTTCATTACAACCCAAATTAACTGTGACATAAAGTTTTGATAAAAATTGCTTTGGGAAAACACTAATAATAAAGGACCGGGGATGTAGCTCACTGGTGTAGAGTGGTGATTGCTTACTAGCATATGCAAGACCCAGGATTTGATGCCCAGCATTACAAACACATAAAAATGGAATAGAATCATGTTCTGTGCACTGTCCCCCAATGTGGGTATACGGTCATGGTCTTGGAGCGCCCGTGAAGGCACTTCAGCATTTGCTCTTTCTCTTATTCACGTACTGACCAGGCCAGCCTCTGTGGTTCTCACTGTATCTGTCTGTGTACTGTGTGATCATTTAACCTTGAGAACCTATTACATACTAAGACTGCTGGGCACGGTGACACACTGAGACAAGATCACCAGTGGAGACATGAAAAATGATTCTCCACTTCTCCTGGTTCTGCCTATTTTAGCCATGGCCATGCCATTTGAAAAGTTCCTCCATTTGGGTTACATGGTGTCAATTTGTTTGAAACCACAGTATTTAGCATTATAGAACTAAGGTCTTTGTTTTCCTAGATTCCTGCCACACTCCCCATTAATGACTGGCCATACACGATATTTCTCTTTTTTGTTTGTTTGGGTTTTTTTTTTTTCTTTTTGAGACAGGATTTCTCTGTGTAGCTTTGGAACCTGTCCTGGATCTCATTCTGTAGACCAGGCTGGCCTCGAACTCACAGAGATCCGCCTGGCTCTGCTTCCCGAGTGCTAGGATTAAAGGCGTGCACCACCGCTGCCTGACTTTTTTTTTCATGATATTTCTTAATCACCTAACATTCTGACTACTCACTTGGTAGTCCTAGCAAAGGCAAATTTGAGGGCCAAGAAAGGCACCCTTTTCCCCCTCCCCTCCTACCCCCTCCCCTTCACCTCCTTCCCTGGAACAATCCCAGCTAGTAAGCAGAGAGCAGGCTCTGACCCCTACAGGACCCCTGCAGGTTTTCCTCCCAACTAAAGTGTTACACTGTCTGAAGTCCCTCATGGCCTCGTCTGTCTCCTTTCTCACTCATCTTTCAGCTGACACCCAGGAATGTCAACTTTAACCAAAGCTACTAGCACTTCCATTTCTGAGCCCTACAAATGAGATGGTTAAATGGCTAACGAACTGTGCCTTAAGTCCAACCTATTATGTCCGAAGAGTCAGGATCCCTTTGATCAATGTTTGTTTGTTTGTTTGTTTTTAGCTACTTGCTATTCAGCTTCTCTGAGCGAGCAGAATTCCACCTCAGCCTCTGAATCTTGAGTTTTTTAGGTGGGCAGCGATCTAGATAAATTCCCTTGTAGCTGTGCAAGAGTCGGTGCCTGAGGGACTAGAATCCCTTCAGGCTGCGACCCTTGCTGCCGGATCGCTGCTGGGAGAGGCCGAGCTGCAGTTGCTGCTTAGGACAGCCATGGCTTTAAAAGGCAGCCACAGTTACACAGAAAAACAACATGACTGGTTTGTCACCAAATCCCCCATTTGGAAGCTCCCTACCCGTGAGCTATGAAAACCTTGTCTTCCTCATGCCCAGTGCTAATCTCTCAAACCCTGCCTTAGGGGGAGGCAGCCTGTATACACACACAAAAAAGCTTGCTTTCATTAATCTGGCTGTGATGATTTGGGTAAGTGGTCTTTCTCCTCCCATCTTTGGTGAACACCTTTCAAAACAGTCTCTTCAGAGACGGAATTGGATGGATAAGGAAAGCACACCAGCCCACACTTTCCTAAACTTGAGCTGTGGATTAAGTGGCTCCAAGACCTCCAATTCACACGTGGCTGTTAGAGGTACTCCTCTCTTAACTGCCACACTTGACTCCCCTCCAAAAGGACTGTGTCTTTCCATTTAATCAATAAACTCACTAACTGCTATCCTCCTCCCCAAATTCTTTTCAGTGACTGCTTCAACCACAGAGGTGTATCTGCTAGCAACACTGAGTTGTGTTTCCTGCTTATAGTGACATGGAAAAGAATAAATATACAATTGCTGCCTTCAACAAGGCAACAAGTTATAATGCTGTGTGATAATTGAGTGTGTCTCAATTGTATCACAAGATTACAAACTCTTTGAAAGCAAGAATACTGTCATACGTGTTTGGTTTTTTGTTTGTTTGTTTGTTTTGGTTTGTTTTTTTTGTTGTTGTTGTTTTTTCGAGACAGGGTTTCTCTGTGTAGCTTTGTGCCTTTCCTGGAACTCACTTGGTAGCCCAGGCTGGCCTGGAACTCACAGAGATCCGCCTGGCTCTGCCTCCCGAGTGCTGGGATTAAAGGCGTGCTCCACCACCGCCCGGCTACGTGTTTGGTTTTTAACTGCAGGGACACACGTGGCATTCATTCCTGTCCATTTTTCCCCCTTGAAAATAAGAAAAATGAGGCCGGGCGGTAAACCAGTAAGCAGCATTCCTTCACGGTGTCTGCTTCAAGGTTCCTGAGTTCAAGGTCATCTTCAGTTACACAGAGTTTGAGGCCAGTCTGTGCTACAGGAGACTATATATGGGGGGGGGGGATCATCTATAGTTTCTCTTTTATCGGGCCAACTCGGATTCTACAAGGTGGAGTTTTTGTACTGCCAATTGGGTTTATTTATGAGTTCGCCCAGTGGAGGCGCACGCGCACTCACTCTCTCCCGCGCTGCGCGCGTGCCCAAGCCGCCCGGGACCCCAGAGCGTGCTAACCCGGGTGGCGCTGCAGAGGCGGTTGGGTTGGTTGCTCAGAGGTGGAGCTGGCGCCATGTCGGTCCGGGAATTGATGGTGCTGCTGTGGTGGCTGAGCGGCAGCGGCTCCGCACTGTGGAGGTAGAAAGATGCATCCCGGGCCACTGGCCTTGCAGACCCCTGCCTGGTCCCCAGCTCCCCAGCACATGGCCGCAGCTCCTCCTCTTTAGAGATGAGGTGCCCGCAGCCCTCTGTGAGGCCGGGTTCTGCCGAAGGGCGGTGATACTCTCACGTTGATGCCTTAGATCATTTTTAAAAAGTTACTTATGTGTAATGATAGATAGATGGGTGATAGATATACATACGTAAGGCCATTTACATGAAAGTATATGATGTATTTTGAGCCTCTCCTCCCCGTACCTTGCTTCTCGGGATTGATGCCCAGCCCTCATCCTCACTCCCGCCTCCCCCACCCCGTCTCTTAAGAATCCGTATGGATTCTTAAGTTCTCCTGTAGCTGTATGTACCCTTGTGCCTCCCCAAAGGAGAACCAGAGATGGCTAGGGAGGGGCATTTTACTTCTGACTTATTTCAAGAAGTTGAAGCGGACTGATTCGGGAGAGAGTATTTACTAAAATAGAAATGCTGTATAAACGTAAAGAGATTCATTCCCAAGTACTGGTTTAGAGACTGAAGATGCTATGAATTCCTGAGAGATCCTCAATGCAGGTTTGGTTGCTTTTGTTGTTCACTATTCAGTAATCACCAGCTCAAAGGGATACCAAAATGTTTTAGGTTTCAACAGGGTTAAAATGCACCTTTAAGGCCGGGCGGTGGTGGCACACGCCTTTAATCCCAGCAATCCCGAGGCAGAGCCAGGCGGATCTCTGTGAGTTCAAGGCCAGCCTGGTCTACAGAGTGAGTTTCAGGAAAGACGCAAAGAAACCCTGTCTCGAAAAGCCAAACCAAAACAAACAAAACAAAAAACGTGCCTTTAACCAGAAAAATCATAATCTTCGAGTATGCTGTATGAAAATAAGCCCCCCCCAAAATTAATATTTAACACGACCAACAAGAAATCAAACACTTGTAAAGTTTTCTTTTCAATGAGGAAGGGGTTCTCTTATATGTCCTGTGATAGGTGAGGGAACAAAAGAGTGACCATAGGCTGGCATGTTGGTGCACAGTGAGCCCCAGAACTCAGAGGGCCAAGAATTCAAAGCAAAGTTGGGCTAAATAGTTAAACTCAGTAAAAACAAACAAACAAACAGAAAACAAAAAACCCCAAAGCTTTTTAATTAAAAATCCTGTTCAGGGGCTGGAAAGTGGTTCCGTGGTTAGGAGCACTGGCTGCTCTTCCAGAGGACTCTGCTACATTTCCAGCCCACTCCTGACGTCGGTAACTCCAGTACCAGAGGATCTGGCGCCCTCTTCTTCTGTCTCATGCGGGCATTGCATGTATATGGTGTACAGACAGGCGGGCAAAACACAACACACATTAAAAACAAAAACTCTCTTAAATTTTAAAAATTAAATATAAAAAAAAAGAGTAGCCATTGGGACAGATCAGTGAGAAGGAGCAACAATATTGTGTTCTGATAAGTTTTTAAGCCTTCTTTTCACAGTGAAGATGACATGGTTGAATGAAGTCTTACATTTAGAGCGCCCAGCACATGCAAACAATAAATCACCCATGAGAGTATTAAGGATGGCCTGTAAACGCAGGGCATTTGTGAGCCCTATTGAATTTTTGTTGGTTTGTTTTGTCTTGGACACCAGACGAGTCACCAGTGATATCTAAAGGACCAGATAGCAAATATATTAGATGTTTCTTAGCCTAAAAATCTATGCTGTAACTCCTGAGACCTCTGCCTTACTAGAGGACAACATTCTGGGTGTGGTTATATGAAGATAAAAATGTATTTACTGAAAGGTACAGTTTGACTCCCAGGCTACAGTTAGTCATCCCTGGTCTACCTATATTCATGATTAGAGGAGGAATGCTGAGGTCCAGTTCCACGTTGGTGGGGAAAATGTCATTTTTTTTTCTCAGGGCTGTCACAGAATATCTGAGTTGTATCTTTTTTGTTTGTTTGTTTTGTTTGATTTTTTGAGAGACAGGGTTTCTCTGTGTAGTTTTGGTGTCTGTCCTGGAACTCACTTGGTAGCCCAGGCTGGCCTTGAACTCATAGAGATCCGCCTGGCTCTGCCTCCCAAGTGCCAGGATTAAAGGCGTGTGCCGCCGCCACCCAGTTAACAAACTGAATTTTAAACTGTTTCCTTGCTGGCTATTTTGGCAGGCGTCTTGGATAGATGAAATTCTCCCCTGCCCCGTGTTCTTTCTTCCACTAACATTTTGGGGTTTACCGTGTTTCTTAAAGAAAATTCTTAGGAGGCTCTTGTTTTGGAGTCAGCTCCCGAGCTGGGCCAAACAGAATGAACTGAAATTGAGATGTTCATGATAACGTCCCCATCTTACCAGACCCAACCCAAGTGGTTGCTGAGCTCAGAAATCGGGAGAAGAGCCAAACAAGTCAGCTTGAGTCAGAACCACGAGGGCCTACCCTCTGCTTTGTCCTTAGAAAAAATAACCAGACCTCACCCGACGGGGGCTGTCTGTTGTTTCCCATTTATTTCCCTGTTTCCATCTTAGAGGTTCCAAACGACCCATCCACATTTTATCCCTTCGATCCTCCCCACCCACACTTATAATGCCTACCCACTCCACTTGACTTATCAGAACATTTCTGGTATTTTATGAAATTGAAGCATTGCTAATTCTGGGATTGCACACACACCTGGTTGAGATGTCCCAGTCACTCTAAGTGATACTATGGATTCAGTTTCTTTTCCCATGTAATCTAGATCCATTTTAAAAACTTCTTTGAGATTTATTTTTGGTGTTTTGCCCACATGTGTGTCTGTGCACCATATGTGTGCAGTGCCCGAGGAGGCCAAAAGGGGGTGCTGGGTAACCTTAGAACTGGAGTTAAGACACTAGTTAGCCACCATATGGGCACTGAGAATGTCATCCCAGTCCTCCAGAAGAACAGTCAGTGCTCTTGACCCCTGAGCCATCTCTCCAGTCCCTAGATACATTAAACTAATA